AGCAGCTTAGCCAAGTGTGGTGAAGCACACCTATCATCCCAGGAATTTGGGAGGCTGAGGCAGGAGGATTCCAAGTTTGAGGCCCTAAGCAACTCAGTGAGACCCTGTCTCTAAATAAAATATAAAAAGGGCTGGGGATGGGGCTCAGTGGTTAAGAGCCCCTGAGTTTAATCCCCAGTACTCTCCCAAACATATTCATAGCAGCTTTATTCAGTTGGCCAGTTGGATTATTGAGTATCCCACATATTAATCAACTGACTAATGGACACACATAACATGATATATTCTATTCAGGAGACTATTTGGCAATAAAAAGTAATGAAACAGGAATACATGTTAGAGCATGGATGAACCATGAAAACATTATCCCAGGAGAAAGAAGCTACATAAAAGCCATATGTTGTAAGGCTCTAAACAAATGACCTGTTCAGATAAGTCCATCCTAGAAGACGGAGGTTATCCATTGCCAGGGCTGGGGAAGGAGGAGAATGGGGACCAGGACTGCTGATAGGTCTGGCATTTCTTTCTGGAGCAATGAAAATATTCTAAAATTAAATAATTGCAGTGATCAACTAGGAATGTACTAAAAACATTGAATTAGGATATACTTTGAGAAGGTGAATTTAATGCACTCTGAATTTTATTTTAATGAAACCGTTACTGAAAAGTAATCATGACCGTAAAGCTATGTAGAGAGGGAAACAAAGACGAGCAAGGATACCTAGACCATTCGTGCTATGATTTCCACAAGGGTGAAATTTTATTATTTAGTCAGGTCTTATAAAACGATTAGCAAAGTGACCTTGTAAATTCCTGAAACACTAGCCTGATTCCATTTTGCTAAAAGGTCACTATCGAAAAAGGTGGATGACTTTCTTTTTATCCTAACAGTCTGTGGTCCCGTGGTGGAAATTATTCTCTGTTATTATGATTCTATTCAGGGGAAAGGACTTTGAGTAGGTATCTAAGATATAGTAGCTATTTTTATGCCATTTCTAATGCTCAACTTAAAATTACTTGCAAAAATGGTTAATGTGCTAGAAATTAGTTGGGCTAATTAGGTCAATAAATATGATTCTAACCCATTAGATAAAAGACTGGGGAGTATTATGTATTGGAAGATGTTGCTTCTGCCAGGTGCAGTGGAGCACACCTATAATCCCAGCGGCTCAGGAGGCTGAGGCAGGAGGATCACAAGTTCAAAGCCAACCTCAACAACCTAGTGAGGCGCTAAGGGTCTCAGTGAGACCCTGTGTCTAAATAAAGTCTAAAAAAGGGCTGGGAATGTGGCTCAGTGGCCAAGTGCCCTTAGGTTCAATTCCTGAGACCCACCCCCCTCCCCAAAAAATGAATTCTATGCAATATTTTCCCAAGTGTCTTTCCCACTAAAAGTGTACCTATTCTGAATCAATCTAATCTGTCAAATCAGACTATGCTGTGGTTTGGACTTACACCAGAGATTCACATGTTGGGACTTGGTCCCCAATGTGGCAGTTCAAGAGGCAATGAGCCTTTAAATAGTAGGGGCTAGGAAGAAGAGATTAGGTGGTTGGTTGCTCTGCTCTCAGAACAGAGTGAGGTAGTTCTCATGAAAACCCAGGTGGTTTTCACAAGAGTAAGTTGTCAGAAAAGAGTGGGCTTGATCGCTTTCTGCTCTCTGGCTTCCTGTCTTACCCTGTGACACCTCTCGCCTGTGCTTCTGCCATGATGCCATCTGCCACGTGGCCCTCATCAAATGCTAAGAGCCATAGCCAAGTAGTAGGATGCATGGCATTTTTGGTTGAAAGGTGAAGCCAGCAAGCCATTGAGATGATATGATTATGTTAAGATCTGCATTCAAATGGATATTAGACCCCTGCTGTCCACCTGGGCCTGCTAAGGGACTCCTGGAGAGTTCCCATTGGTTGGGGAAGTGCAGTAGGAGAGAATTCCGGAGGAGGGATTTCCGGTTGGAGTGTGGTGGGGGGGGGACCCCCAAGTGTGTGGGTAGGCATATTTCCCAGGAGCATACAGGGCATTGGCGGGAGTTTCAAAATAAAGTTTGTTCCTGTTTGAGTGGCTCGTGATTTTGTGCCCAGCCAGTCTGTGGCAATCGAAGGCCAAACAAATGGGCTGTCCAGTGTCAGACTTTTAGCCCCACAAACTGTGAGCTAGCAAACTTCGTTTTTTTAGACATTATGTAGCCTCAACCATTTTATTATAGCAACAGAGAACAGACTAATCCAAAATATTTACCTAAGATATTAAGGATTATTACTTTCACAAACTTGGTGGTATATTGTCTTTAAAAAAAAAACACAAAAAACAGCTTAACCAGGCATGGTGGTGCACACCTGTAATCCCAGTGTTTTGGGAAGCTGAAGCAGGAGGATTATAAGTTCAAAGTCAGCCTCAGCAACTTAGCGAGACCCTGTCTCTAAATAAAATATAAAAAGAGCTGGGGATGTGGCTCTTGGTTATGGGTCCCTGGGTTCAACCTCTGATACCAAAAATAAAACAAACAAACAAGCAAGGGTCAGTTTAGTAGGAAGGTACAGTAGTTATAAACATGTATGCAGAAAATTGAACAGGCTGTACACCAGGTATGTCTAGCAGACAGCTATAATATATCCAGTCCAACGACAGCAAAATGTATATTCTTCTGAAGTCTACACAGAGCAACCTCCAGAATAGAGGACATGCTAGGTCCTAAGATAAATATATGGTGATAAATGAAAACAAAGACACAAAATGCGTAAGCTTGTGGGATGCTGAAAAAGTGGTGTTTAGAGGAAAATTTATAGCTGTGAATACCTGTATTAAGAAAGTAGATGCCAGGCCTGGTGACCCACCCTGTAATCCCAATGGCTTGGGGTGGGGAGGGGGGCAAGAGGAGGCTGATGCAGGAGGATCATGAGTTCAGAATCAGCCTCAGCAATTTATCAAGGCCCTGAGCAACTGAGGGAGATCCTGTTGTCTCTAAATAAAATATAAAAAGGGCTGGGATGTGGCTCAATAGTTAAGCGCCCCTGGGTTCAATCCCTGGTACAAAAAAAAAAAAAACCTAGTTAGTGTCTATTCTATATTCATTTGATGATTTCAAATTTGAATGACAACTGATTGGCCCTATGACACTGGTATACATATGTGAAATATCCTTAAAAGAGACTGAAAGAAAAAGCAATGTCACATCCAGCTGTAGGCCAGTCGTTTTGTCCATACTTGGGATCTGCATCATCCATTTGACAGGTTAGACAGATCTCACTATGCACATTATCACCAAAATGCTCAAGTGTTTATGTTTGATTTAGCAACGTGTATGTGCTAGACTCAAATGATCGGTTCAGCAATTGGTTATCTTGGTGAAATATTTGGCCCCTTCAAATAGTCAACCACTTACTTTTTTGTCTGTATATTTTGGTATTGGGGTAACAAATTCTGCTCCTTAGGTCTTAGCCACCTAAGTGTGTTTCTTCCTTATACAATTCTGTTGCTTAATCTAGACTCCAAGCTAGTGCCATTACAGCTCTCAAGCACATTGATGAACTGATGTGCAAGATGACTGATGAAATTTTGTTTTTACTCAAAGTGGGTCCAGACAGGCACTTCTGTGCCTACACTCTGTGGACTGTGTGTGGTGGGTGGTGTGAAAGTTGGATAGGTCTTCTCAAAAACTCAGTGTGAATACCAGTCACTGGGGAATCCTGCAAGGTGGAGACTCAGGTCTAGGGTAGAACAGAAAAATCCCATTTCCATCTGATTCCAGGTACTGCCTGAACTCCTGGTGCACAGACCACACTCTGAGCAGCAGGACTGTGGGAACCCAAGAGGCCCAGGCAGGAGCTGGTCTAATGTTGCAGACCCCTGCACGCACTCGGACTTTAGTCTCCTTCCTTAACTCAGCCCTGAACCCACTAATTAAAACTTCAGGAGCATTGAATTCCACTGACTGTGTTCTTCTATTTCCAGTTTTACAGTGATCTAAAAAGAACACGACAGTAGGTATTTTCTATAGTTCCTCAGCGCTGCCTCCTGGCCTGCCCACCTGTCAGATTTCTATCTAACATGTCATTGAGTATCAAAAGTGATTTATCTATGAAACATCTCCATTTCCCTTCTTTAGAGCCCTGGAGCTGTGTTCTTGGCCCTAACTATATCTATGGCAAAGGCAATGAGGGAGAACCTCTCAAATCCCAGCAAGGCTTCTGGTACCCAGTGGAAGGAATCTTGCGTGTTGTTTGCCTAAACTCAAGCCTGGTTTTCTAATATCTTTTTTTAAAAAAATATTTATTTTTAGTTGTAGTTGGACACAATACCTTTATTTCACTTATTTATGTTTATGTGGGGCTGAGGATCAAACCCAGGGTCTCACATGTGCGAGGCGAGCGCTCTACCACTGAGCCACAACCGCAGCCCCTGGTTTTCTAGTATCTTAAGTGTACATTTATTGTAGTTTCCCAGGGAAACTAATCTCAGAGTCTGAGTCATTTAAATGAGATTGCAAACTGAGTTGTACCTATAGAGGCTGCTCTCTGTAAGACAATACGATATAGGGCTAATCAAGTTTTATATCAAATCTGAGTCCAGAGGCAGCATTTTAAGTCATTTCTAATTTAATTTTTTTTTTTTTGTACCAGGGATTGAACTCAGGGGCACTCGACCACTGAGCCCCATCCCCAGCCCTATTTTGTATTTTATTTAGAGACAGGGTCTCACTGAGTTGCTTAGGGCCTCACTAAGTTGCTGAGGCTGGCTTTGAACTCACGATCCTCCTGCCTCAGCCTCCCAAGCCACTAGGATTACAAGGCATGCGTCTCCATGCCCAGATTTGTGTAATTCGTCTTATCTAAGTATTATCATTTCAAAAATTACTAGTGAGATTTTATTGATTTTGCTTTTTACACCAACTTGTTTTATGCTCATAGCTCATCTCCATTTGGGCTGGCCACATTTCAAATTAAATTCTTCCTATGGAATAGATGTGACTTGTCGTGTAATGCACTCTGTTCGATTTGTTACAGAGCACAGAAGCAGTCACAGTAAAGACAGGAGGAAAACCAGGACAAGAAAACGGAAAGCGAAGAGCACTAGCCTGGCTGATGATTTGGCCGTGTTGAAGGGTGGCTTGGCCACCAAGGCAATTTCTGCCTATGGGAACAAGACAGACAGCATGAGGGAAAGGAGGACGCACAGAAGAAACAAACGTTTCTTATCCTACCCACGGTTTGTAGAGGTGATGGTGGTCGCGGACCACAGGATGGTATCATACCACGGAGCAGACCTGCAACACTATGTTCTAACGTTAATGTCAATTGTAAGTATGCTCAGAAGAAGGTCATTCAAGAGCTCTCAAAATGCACCCTGGGGGAATGGGTTCCCCCCAGGGCTTTGGAGGGTCATTCAGGGCTGGCATTTCAACCTTTCAGGCGAGTACCCCCAAGGGATCCTGAGATGGCTCATTGGTTGCCTTTGTATGGTAATGACAACGGTTATTGATGTGGAGTATTTATTCTGTGTTAGAGACTTTGCTTCTTAGTTTAGAGGCCTAATTGCTGACTCTGCTGGTATCCCGCTAGTTGGAATTATGTACTCATTTCACAGATAAGCACACTGAGTCTCAGAGGAGTTAGGTCACTTGACCACTGTCAGGTAAATCTAGCAAGTGCCTTAGATGTTGCAAGTGGCTTTATCTTGTCTGCTTCCCTAAACCCATGATCTGATTTCTGAATTTTGCTCAACCAGGTGTGTTTCTTCAGTCCTTCTGGGTGCTGCTGGCGCTGAATCAGAGTCACCCATGAGGTTTTGTTACATTCAGTAGTCTAATTAAGTAGCCCTGGGGCGAAGCATGGGAATCTATTTTTCTTCTCCCATTGAAATTGGATTGAATTTAAACACTAAATTTTCGAGATTAAAAAAATCATTCCCTATATATATCATTTCATCAAAAGGAACCCAAATACTATGTATAATCATAATGCTCTTATAAAAAATGTAGAAAGAAAAAAAAAAATGAAACCCCAAACTATTGTTAGAAAATAAGTTTTCCATGCAAGTTCCCTGACCATTGCCCAATAAAAGCCACATATTTAATTTCACATGTTTTAAGAGGCATTATTTTTAGAAGAGAAAGAAGTGAGACTAATATTAATAGTATAATTTGTCTTATCTAAATATTATCATTTCAAAAATTACTAGTGAGATTTTATTGATTTTGTTTTTTACACCAACTTGTTTTATGCTCATAGCCCATCTCCATTTGGGCTGGCCACATTTCAAGTGCTCCATAGCCACATAGGGTGTTTGGCCACCACATTGGGCAGGCTAACTCTGGATATGTATATAAGCTAATGACTTATGCAAATATGTGCATGTACTATTGGCCCCTCTGTTGCTGTAGATTCAGCATCTGTGGATTGAAAACATTTGGAAAACTAATTGAACTGTACTGAACACATACAGACTTTTTTTTGTCATTATACGCTGAACAATACAACTATTTATATAGCATATAACATTATAAGAAACTATAAATCATCTAAAGCTGCTTTTAAAGCTTAGGGGATATGCAGAAGTTAGATGCAAAAATTATACCATTTTATATGAGGGAACCTGAACATCCTCGGGTTTTAGTATCCTTGAAAGTCCTGGAGTCAACCCCCCTGGATATGGAGAAACAACTGAGCAATTTTTTTTTTTTTTACCTTATACAAAAAAGGAGCATCTCATGCAGTTTAACATATTGCTATTATCTTGAACTAATAGGGATTGTTCCATAGCAACCCAGATAGATCTGTCTAGCTCATTTTTAGCCTTAGCTTGACATTACCCTTTTTCAACTAACCCTAATTTACCTGAACCTACTTTTTTTTTTTTTTTTTTTGTACTGGGGACTGAGCCCAGGTGTGCTTAACCACTGAGCCACATCCTCAGCCCTTTTTATATATTATTTAGAGACCAGGATCTCACTGAGTTGCTTAGGGCCTCACTAAGTTACTAAGTCTGGCTTTGGACTCACGATCCTCCTGCCTTGGCCTCCCGAGCTGCTGGGATTATAGGCCTGTGCCACTGCACCCAGCCAGAACCTATTTTTAATAAATTCCACAGATGAGTGTGAAAGAACATGTTTGGGAATGTTGCATTAGGTTTTCTCCTTCCCACCCCATGGCTGGGGACCATTCCCCCATGCTGCCCCAACCCTGCCACCCCTCACTCTCTCACCCCCTCCCCTTGCTCAGTCACATATGCCCCAGCTCTCTCATGACCAGAGGAAGAAAACAAACCTTCCACAGCCCCAAGTCCATATCTACGCCATAATTTCAGAAATGTGATGAGAATCTTGATGACACACACAGCTTGGGATCAGATGGCCTAGCCTGAGATTTCTGGCTCTGCCACTCACCACTGTATATTCAATTTTTCTGAGGCTTGGTTTCCTCATCCATTGCACGGAGATTGTCATAGTAACCAGCCCAGAGTTTTGCTATGCAGACTGAATGCAAACGCCTAATGGAGTTTTTCAGCAAGGATCTAGTTCATAATAAGCACTCCGTGAATGCTCGCCCTCATAATTAATTACAGCAAAATAAAACAAAAGCAGGTTTCTCAGGTTCTTGAGAATGCAGATGGGTGATAAGCATAAAGAACCGCAGTTATTAGCGAAGGTAATTTTGTAAGTTAGCCATTGTGATTTTGTTAAGTTAGCGATCCAGGACTTCAGATGGGAGGAGAGACTGTAATTGGAAATTAATATCCAAATGTTTGGGTACAGAGATCTGTGAGGCAGCAATACAGTTTCTAAAGAAAATACCATTTGGCATTTAAACTTGTTTGAATTCATTATTATCTAAAAGTGCCATCTGTGGATTCACAAAGAGATTTCAATAAATGCATGTTGAATGAATGAAAACTCAGAACAACAGAATGTGTATATGTCATGGAACATAAAAAAGAGATGGAATCCAACCTAAGAAGTGAATTGCTTATTGCTTACAGAGAGTTCACAATTAACTTTGAAAAATTTATCTCGGTTGCAGGTAGCCTCTATCTATAAAGACCCAAGTATTGGAAATTTAATTAATATTGTTATTGTGAACTTAGTTGTGATTCATAATGAACAGGTAATCACGTTTTTTTTCTTCTTTCTTCTATCTGTATCCGAAATGGCATCTCTGATTGGTATTGCTAGCAGAGACCAACCGTAATTCTTCTCTGTATTTAGGAAGGACCTTCCATATCTTTTAATGCCCAGGCAACATTAAAAAATTTTTGCCAGTGGCAACATTCCAAGAACTATCCAGGTGGAATCCAGCATGATACAGCTGTGCTCGTAACCAGGTATGTGGATTTCTGATTCCTCCAATCTCTCTGTTCAGGTCAGGCTGATGGGATGGGGTCATCTAGAGCAACCTTTGTAGGACGTTTCTCAACTTAGATGCTATTGATGTCTTGGACCAGACAATCCCTTATGGGGTGCCCTGAATACTGCAGAACATTTAGTAGCACGTCTGCCCTTGGCTCACTACATATCAGTGGCACTTTGTCTTCTCAATGGTGACAGTGCTTCTAATCACTGTCCAGCATCCTCCTGGGGAAGAGGGAGGAGGTGAAGAATTACCCCTTGAGAACGACTCCTGTAGAGGTGCCAGCTAAGAGTCAATTTGTTAGGCAGCTCTGAAAGTCAATGCCCTTATATACAGGGGACAGCTGCTGTTCAGATGAAGCAGGTTGTGGTGACTCGGATCAGAGTCCCGTGATTTTGTAAGAAGCTAGAAATATGGATTGGGGGAGGGTCATGGGGGATTGAACCCAGGGGCACTTAAGCACTGAGTCACATCCCCAGCCCTTTTTAAAAAATATGTATTTTATTTGCAGACAGGGTCTTGCTAAATTGCTTAGGGCCTCACTGAGTTGCTAAGGCTGGCTTTGACCTTGCGATACTCCTTCCTCAGCCTCCTAAGCTGCTGGAATTATAGGCATACACCACCATATCCAGTGAAATATGGGTTGTTAAAAAATTGTGAAATCCCCCCAAATTTTAGTGTATTATAGTTATGCATAATAGTGGGGTTCAATAGCCATAAATGCATATAACATAATTTTCTCTATTTCAATTCTCAGCCCTCCCCCTTTCCTTTCCCTTCTCGATTCCCTGTGATCCCTTCCTCTGCTCTATCGGTCTTCCTTCTATTTATTTTTAAATGGATGCATTATATTTACATGGTAGCACTTGTCTCAAAAGTGTTGTCTCAAAAGAGCAGGGTACAGTGGCTCATGCCTGTAATCCCAGTGGCTCAGGAGGCTGAGGCAGCAGGATCACAAATTCAAAGCCAGCCTCAGCAACTTAGAGAGGCCCTGAGCAACACAGTCTCAAAATAAAATATTAAAAAGGTCTAGGGATATAGCTCAGTGGTAAAGTGCCCCTAGGTTTAATCCCCAGGACCAAAAAATAAATAAATAAAAGTGTTTAAGACATTGCACAGGGTAACAGAGAGTTGCTGGCCTAAACATACCTCCCATCCATTGTGGGGGTACACTGGATTTTTCAAAATTTTTTTATTTATTTAAATTTTGCACAGTGCTGGTGATTGAACCAGGCCTTTTTTTTTTTTTTTTTTTTTTTTTTTTTGCGGGGGTGCTCCTTTAAGTGAAAAGCATTTAGCACTTTTTTAGGAATGTTTACAAATTATATATAAAATTATAATCACTCGCGGGTGTGGTGGTGCAGGCCTATAATCCCAGCACCTCGGGAGGCTGAGGCAAGAGAATCCCAAGTTCAAAACCAGCCTCAGCAAATTATCGAGGCCCTAAGCAACTCAGTGAGACCCTGTCTCTAAATAAAATACAAAATAGGGCTGGGGATGGGGCTCAGTGGTTAAGAGCCCCTGAGAACTCCTTGGTACCAAAACATTTTTTTGCAAGTTACAATCACTTATGTTGGGTATTGGGGAAGTCCTGGTTAGAGAGGCAGCAGGAGCAATCTTCTTAATGGAGCTGTTAATCCTGAATCACTGCTTCCCAAAATGTTTGCATTGTAAAACCTGGGTCTTATTAATTTGTTTTTGGGGAGCGAACCTCCCCCCAGCCCCCACACTTACCCCCCACTATAGCATGTGGTACTGTAAATGCCTAGAACCCTCTGAAGTATTTTCTTGTGTTGACCTTTGCTCTTTGGTGTCATCAAGGCCTAAGTCTGCTTTGCTTTCAGACAGGACATCTGCAGAGCTCATGACAAATGTGACACCTTAGGTGAGTCCTCCATTCATATCCTCTGTGGCTAAAACAGTTTGCTACACGTTTCTGTTCTAAGTCAAAATTGCTCTTTAAAGTAAGTCCTTGTTGGTCTTTTCTTTCCCCTTTCTAATAGGTCTTGCTGAACTGGGAACCATCTGTGATCCCTACAGAAGCTGCTCTATCAGTGAAGATAGTGGACTGAGTACAGCGTTCACCATAGCCCATGAGCTGGGCCACGTGTAAGTGTCACTTCAATAATGTCATTTAATTCAGAGTCACCTACAACTTGCATTCCTTGGATTCTGTGAGCTTTTGCTTGATGTTAGGGTATGTGAGTCACTTTCCATGTCACAGTAGAGTTTCAAGGTTGAAGAACTTTGAACCTAGTTGGGAGAAGTGACCTTGACTTCCAAAGTTAAAGGAACATGGTGCACCGCACCCTCTTCAGCCAGAGCTTGTGTTTTAGTCAGCTTTTTACTGCTGCGACTAAAAGACCTGACAGAACAACAGTGGGGAGGGAGTAGTTTATTTGGGGGCTCAGGGTTTCCGAGGTCTCAGTCCAGAGACAGCAGCCTCCATTCCTCTGGGCTCCAGGTGAGGCTGAACATCATGGAGGAAGAGTGTGGTGGAGGGAAGCAGCTCACATGGTGATCAGGAAGCAGAGAGACTCCACTTAAATAGAGACCCCAAAGCCACGCCCCCCAATGCCCCTCCTCCAGCCACACCCACCTGCCTCCAGCCACCACCCAGTTAATCCCATCAGGGGTTCATTCACTGGTTGGGTTAAGGCTCTCACAACCCAGTCATGTCTCCTCTGGACCTTCTTACATGTTTCACACGTGAGCTTTTGGGGATACCTCACATATAAACCACAAGAGCTTCTGTGTTTTCAGTAAAACTGCTCCAGTTTGGTATGCAAAATCTAGTAACAGATTTTCCTTCTGGGAACTGGGGGAACAAGGCCTTTCCACTTCCCTCAGGATGTGTTAATGTGAAGAACATTCCTGGGTCCACATCTTGGTCTAGAAGGGTCCCCGACACTGTCCTGGCCCCCAAGATTTTTACGAGTCCAGTTCACTTCTGCATTGAGCTATGCATAGCTGTAATTGAAACAGGAAGCACCTGCAGACTGTAATGTCCCTCTTTCAGTGAAGAGAGTGAGCCAGGATCCCCAGAAAACAGTCATTTCCTAATCAAGGCCTCCAAGTGCCTGGCTGTAATGAAATGGGTCTTCCCTTTTGTTTCTGTAGAGACAGAGCCCGGTTAGAACATGGGCTCATCAATGTGAATTGACTAGAAATCGGTCTGATTTTCAATCTGCATTTTTTTCTTTCTATAATAATCAAATCACTTACCCTCTATATTTGGAAAATAATTTTCTCAATCGATGCCATTAATAGAACATCCCCATATGTCTAATTTGGGTGTCAGACGCTGACTTTAGAGCTAACGTTGTACAATCAGCAAGCTTTTCGTGCAGATGTTTTCTGGATTCACCTGTGGGCAGTGCACTCACACAGATCAAGATGCCCACAGGCACACACAGGTATCTCCCAGCCACTTCAGAAGCAGTGCGTGTATCTTCAAATGAAGACCTTTCAATCGTATTTTAAGAACACGCTCCTCATCCTGAAAGGGAGAGCTCCAGATGACCACTAACTGAGAACATAAAGAGCCAGCTTTCTAGGTAGCTGCTGTGACACTCCCCAGGATCTTCTCTGCCCTGAAGGCTCCTAAGGCACCTCCATGAACCTCAAGGACTCCTTGAGAAATTCCAATTTCAGTCCCCCTCCCCTTGGTCCCCTTTGACCTTCATCAAGTCATTAGACCTTTCTGTGGTTCAGTACCTCATCAGCAAAATGTCATCCCCGTGTGTCTGTGGGGGCTGATTCCAGGACCCCCGTGGATAGGGAAATGTGCAGATTTGCAAGTCTTTTTTATAAACTTTTTTATCCTTTTTTTTTTTTTTTTGTAAAATGGGATTGAACTCAGGGGCGCTTAACCACTAAGCCACATCCCCAGCCATATTTTATGTTTTATTTAGAGACAGGGTCTCACTGTGTTGCTTAGGGCCTCTCTAAGTTGCTGAGGCTGGCTTTGAACTCGCTATCTTCCTGCCTCAGCCTCCCAAGCTGCTGGCATGATAGGGGTGCACCACTGCACCCAGCTATACCTTTATTTTATTTATTTATTTTTAAGTGGTGCTGAGGATGGAACCCAGTGCCTCACATGTGCTAGGCGAGCACTCTACCACTGAGCCACAACGCAGAGGCCTAGTGTTTGCATGTTATCTGCTTTAAATCATCTCTACAGATTACTTATAATACGTAATACAAAATAAATGTTGTGTAAATAGTCGTCACACTGTACTATTTATGGAATAATGATAGGAAAAAAAAAGGATGCACATTTTTTTTCTTCTGAATAAGTTCCACCTGCAGTTAGTGAAGCCCGTAGATGAAGGATGTGCAGACTTGGCCGGTAGACTGTGCTGCCCAGGAGGTTAAATAACTGATTAAATGAAATAAAGCATTTAAAACAGTAATCACATTCTGGGTACATTGTGAATCCTGAAAAGTCTTTTTTTAAATTAATTTTTTATTTTTAGTTGTAGAAGGACACAATACCTTTATCTTATTTATTTATTCATTTATTTATATGTTTGTGTTTTGTGAATGCCTGGAATTGAACTCAGGTGCACTCAGTCACTGAGCCACATCCCCAGTCCTATTTTGTATTTTATTTAGAGACAAGGTCTCACTGGGTTGCTTACGGCCTCATTAAGTTGCTGAGTCTGGCTTTGAACTTGTGATCCTCCTGCCTCAGCCTCCTGAGCTGCTGGAATGACAGGTGTGCACCTGTAATTATTTTCATGTGGGCTGAGGATCAAACCCAGTGCCTCACATGTGTTAGACAAGCACTCCACCACTGAGCCACAACCCCAGCCCTGAAAAGACTTGGTTCTTACTATTTAACCAGGGTTCCATAAATATTTACTATTATTTAACCCATGCCATGAGCAAATGTGTCTGGCATCTGGATAAAAACAAATTGTTATTTCATATGATGAAGTAAACTTGATTTCATGATGGGGTAGGAATATCTGCCAGTTACCTTGCACCACAGAGAAGCAAGCTGAGGTTTGAACACTTCCTGGTTGTACAATGGATGCCTCTGGAGTGAGGCACACCATCATTCCCCGCCCCTTCCTCTGACCAAGCCAAGAATGGCAAGTATGTATTCCTGCTGCTGCCAGGTTCCCTCCCAGGCCCAGGAGGATGGGGGCGGTCCTCAGGGCCTTCTGGGGTCAGAACCTGGGTTAGTTTAAGAACCCTTTGTGCTGGTTTTCATCAAGCCAGCCCCCATATGGTGACCTTGGCACAGAGCACAAGACTATTGCCATCGCTGAGTCCCGCCCACTCCATCTGCAT